AGAAATTAGAAGAGACCACGGACCTTGACACAACAACTATTGCAGCACATCCACCGCCCCCGTGGGAAACGGAGGATGTCTCAACAAGTAGGTTAATACCCCAAAACCAAGAAAAAAACCATAAGAAGAGGCGGCAGCACTAGAGCGAAGAACACCTAAAGAAGATTGGACAACTCGGAGACGATACCGATGTCTTCTATACCGACGCGGCCAGAAATCAGGCTGGACGCACATGCAATCGCATGGAGCGCACCCACCCGCAGCAAAACATGGAGAGGGCAAACGTACAAGACGAGCAGCTCCAAGACTGTAGAGCTGTTGGCAATACTGCAAGCCGTCAAGGAAGCCACAGACAATCCCCAACGAGCCAATGTAATTATTTACACAGATTCGCAAGAAGCACTCCGTGAATGCAAACGATGCCGCTCGCAGAATGACATCGCGCTTTAAATACGAAGCGTTGTTAAGCAATCAAAACCCTACGTCACCGTCGTTACAGACTGGATTCCGGGCCACGAAGGCATACCGGAAAACGAGAGAGCGAACGAGGCCGCGAGGGCGCAGCTAAACGCATGTACCCTGCCCTCACAAGGCCACGATCCTCTCCTCGCACCTCAAGAACAAGACGAAAGGCCTGCCATACCACCTGACCCAGACGAGATAAATAGAGAGGAGCGGCTTGCCCGAAAACTCAGGCTCATCTCCCTTCTTCCACCAGATTCTTATCCGATCCCGCCGGAATACAACCGGTGGGAGGAGGTGAGCATCAGGCGGCTCCAAACAAATACGGCCATCACGCCCATCTGGCAGGCTAGATTTTATAAGCATACAGACCCGAACGACCCAGGCATTGACTCCAACTGCGAATACTGCGGTGTCCCGGCAATATGTTTCCACCTCGTGTGGGACTGCGCTGAAAGTTCGCGGTATCGCGAAGCAGCGTGGAAGAAGCTTCTCCCACAGGCAAGAAGACCCACAACATATGAAGAGTAGACCCTTCCGGACCTCGCAAACCCGCACAGGAAGCAGATCCTCGACTCCCTGTTAGACTTTCTCCGTCTTTCAGGGGTGGCGAGGCATGTATGAACCCCTTTCCCCTTTCCTTTCCCCTCCACGTCACTCCAGGTGATGCTACTCAAGGGGACGTGACGAATCCCCTTTGTAGATATAATAAATACGTTTTGTAGATATATATCCCATTTCCGACGTCATAGGCGGCGTTCGGCCAATTGTGGAAGGCCGACCACAGCGACGCTTTCGGTCGCGCACGTCGCCAATACCCGATGCCGACAGCACGCGCTCACGGGGAAAATACAAAGAAATCGACGAAAATCAAAATGTCACCATAGCACAGTCAGCGCCACAGACGCGTGCAGGGACACGCTCTTTCACGCGCTTCTGAACAAAAAATAAATGTAAAAGTGGGAACAAAATGGCCAGATGTCTCCACCCTAAGCAAAGTGCACATGAAGAACATGGTTAACATCGCACATGAAGGCACCCTAATCCAAACCACTTCGCTCGTAGTGCCCGAGAGGGCGCTACGAGCGAATTGGCTTGAATTAGCTGTTTTTTTTCCACATGCGGAGGTACCGAAAAAGCACTCCGGTGGCTCCACTCGTTGTTTCTAATACAGTCTAGCGGAATCGCCGTACACGCGCTTTTTACGGCAGTTTGATACTTTAGACCCATGTTACGGATAAAAAAAAACAGAACGCAGGTTGGCCAAAAAACGCGTTTTTTGTGTAAGCTTTGCCAAATTATGAGGCGCTGGAGAAGTACAACCTTCTCCGTTAAGTCCTTATTTACAACTCTTTGTGTTCGCCCTCCGGCCATTAAAGAGCATGCGGGAACCCTTAGAGAAATGTCATATATGTTCCAGATATATTTTATATAAGGCCGTATGTGGACATATAGGCCCCTTGCAGATGACGTCATTTCCGATGCCCTCCAGAGAAAAGGGAAAGAAGGAGCTCCGCTCTTATCAGGATCCTCCTTTGTGCCTCCCGGATTTGTACAGGCGTCGCTATTCTCCCCCCAGAAGATTATAGAAGATTAACCTGTCACTCAAAATTCTTACAAAAGCAGCTTCCCTCTCCTCCTTTTACTTGGTGTTCAAAAGTATGCGATGTGACGTCAGTGCAAGGAGCCTATAAGTAGACATATAAGGCCATATAAGTAGACATATAAGGTCATATATAGCCACACAAGGGCTGAAATCAGGGCAAATATGGCAAGGTGACACCATATATGACGATATATATTGCCAGATAAAGTCATATGTAACAGTATATGATGCCTGATACTCGTATATATGGCACTATATGGTGCTAGATATGGCTCAATCCAGCCATATACAGATGACTCAATGTGGCATGCAGGCGAGTTGTTCGCTCTAACAGTGTCGCGCTCTGTACAATCATTTGTTATACGAAGACATATTGCATATCTCAATTCTGAAATTTCTCTGAAACATGTTCTTTTATCTGTATGGCATAAATATTTTTTCAGGGAAACTGAATTGCTCTCACTGTGTTATTTCTAAGAAAACACCAAAAACACTTCACATCAATTGCATATATTTATTTGTGCACCGTTTCCAGATTTCATTAGTTTTTCATGACACCCAAATGACAAATCAAGATGAGTATATAGGTATGTGCGACAAAATTAGTATCAAGTTATTTTCAATTGTAGATGACTTGCAACTATAGCCGGTTACAGGTCAAGAACAAAGCGGAAAGAGATGGGAAGCTCTTCCCATCTCTTTCCATTTTCTACTAAAGTGAAAAGAGATGGGAGGAGCTTCCACTTCAATCTTGACCTGTCACCGACTGTATGCTCATTTACCAAATCCTTCAATCAGACAAAACATCCTTAAAAATGCAATATCAAAATTGTGGTTCAGCTACAGTAGCTCAACGGCTTGTTTATTGCAATGAATACTATGATGCAGGATTCTTAAAAAAATCAATCACTAATAAAGTAGAAGTATTTTTCACTCTTAAGAACCTCTGAACATTATCTTACACAGCCATGGAACATTCCTGGAAGGATGAACTCAAGAAATAGACCTTTACCCAAGTTGTGCATTCTGTGCCTAATAACATCAAGCATGTTTATTGTGACAGCAAAAAAGCAGTTACAATTCACACCATATTTGTACAAGTCATCACGCAAATGTAATTACATAGAGAGCACATATGTTGTTTGGCTGTGTCTGCAAACAGGATGAGCGTTAAGTGATCCAAGTATACAAATTATAAAGGTCACTATGAAGGGAAGACAAGGCCGAGGACGAGGGTATACACAAGTCTCTGGCATTCATACAACGCATTCATGTACACCACCAAAAATTCTGATATAAGATGTGTTTACAAAACTAACTGTAATCATTTTATAGTGGCGAAGTATTATATAGCAAGAACCAACACAGATTGTCAACATTGAGGGAAGCTAAACTTCAAGGAAACAAAAATGTATTGCCGTTAAAGCACGGTGGAACAAAATCTCTATGGAGAACAAACTAGTCAAACAAAACCTCCGTGGAGAACAAACTATGCAAACATATCACGCACCTGGAATTCCACCTAAACGACATAATATTAGCCGCAAAAGTTTATGCGTGACGAGCAATACAAAAATTTGCTGTTACTGGTAATGTGGACGTGCTATATGCACGTGGGTGATACTTCACCCCTCGGTCTCTGAATAAGCAAAGAGGATGCCTGGCTGCCAGATGGAGCAGCAGTTCATTTTAGTGGCTGTTTCCTGTGGACCATAAGCTTTTGTGGCTTACATATTAGTAAAAATAGCTAACACACAAAACAAATATTGCAGACCAATCCCACTCAATAACTCGCAATATAAACTGAACATAGTACAAATGACATCATATGGCTAATATGAGGAAATTCTGAAAAGCTCTCGACCCGACCGAGAGAACGGTCTAGTATCATGAAACTTTACTTATCGACATATTCACCTCTAAGCTGAACTTCCTTTCAGATCTAAAAAAACGAAAGCATTCAGCACGATCTGGTGTGTATGATGGATTATCAATGCAATAAAATCCCAAGCTCTCCAAAACATGCATGGTCATTCCGGCCCTGTGAGCAGTGCATTGTCCTGCATAGAAAGAATGCCTTTGCATAGCTCCCCTCGCAATTTCTTCCAAAACCTCCTTTGGGAGCGGCAGTAAGCTGGGGTAGTATTATGCACTAATTGTTTGACCCTTCTCGAGATAGCCATCAAAACTCCTCCCTTGTCTCCAAAAAAAAAAACGTGGCCATGACTTTTCCTGCAAATCTTTGGGTCTGTTGATTGGTTTTCGGATCATAGTGATGCAACCATGTTTCATCAACCGTGACAAGTTGTTCAATGAAATAGCCTCTGGACTGCTCAAAATGCTCCAAAATCAATCTGGGCATTTCTATTCGGCGCTGTTTCTCATCAGCACTCAAACATTTTTGTTACTCATCAGCACTCAAACATTTTGATACATACTTGGCTGAGAGCTCGTGCACATGAATTATAAATTCTTCCATTCACATGATACATCTAGCGTTTCTGCAACCGTTTTAGACAAGACTCGCTTATCTGCCAAAATTAGATCACAAAAGCGATCAACAATTCCAGGAATTTACACTGTCTAAAGCCTCCCTGATCTCATGGCATCCTCATACTCAAAATCAGAATGCAAAAAGTTAGCACATAATTAATGCACAGTTGAGTATGACGGGCACTTGTCACTCAATGTTTCCATTGTACACACATGAATTTCCCTTGGAGTTTTCTTCTGCAGGTACAGGAAGCTCAGGAAAGCTCGGAGTTCAGCACTTGAAAATTCCACACTTGCAGTAGACATGGTTCAGTCGATGATCTAAGACAAATATAAGATTTGTGTTACAAACCTGCAAATGGGAACCTAAGAATATAAAAGAACACTCTTTTCACCTACAGTGACAGAACAGTCATATCTTGCGAAGTGGGTTGGGCCGAGAAGTTTTCAGTGCTGCCTCGTATAATTTCAGACAATCGAAACATGAAAGCTGACCTCAAGGAAGAAACTACAAATTCATCTCGTAGTTGTTGGGGGAAATGCACACGAAATCTAGCACAGCTATGCACTTCGTCATTGTTGATGGAACTGGGACCACATCAAGACGAACGCTTTGGCGGACTGCAATGATGTGCGGGACTGAGAATCTAGTTTCCTCATGGACGTACTGCACACTGCATTCATGCAGCTTCTGCTGTACCAAGAACAACTGTTCTTTGTACTTAACAAAGCACCGAATTAGAGCAAAAGTTCGTTGTTCGTCAACAACATACATCACAATGAAATTGTTCCTTCGGGTCTGGTTGGTGCAGAGCCTAGAGGAAAATGTCTGTGAGCCAATTGTAGCTTTTTTGTAGATATTTAGGTTGTCTGTGTTAGAAAAGAAAGATGTCAAAGCTGTCCTCAGTATTGCAGTTGCTTTGCATGACCGGCCATGACACACAAAGCTGTTGGGAGCACACAGTCTTGTGAAATGAACAGTGTCTAACTTGCTCAAGACCATTTTAGCACGAGACTGCGGCCTCACATGCCTATACATAGCACTTAACGCATTGCTGATGCCCACCAGGCTTCCTAGTTGTTTGTCGACAGCTTGGGTCCCTTTGACAAGGCGCACTAATTGCCCATTCCTGTCCTCAAACAAAAATGCCGATGTGGCCCAAAGCGGTCCCCAGTTCCTGCCTGACTCTGCGACGTGTGTTAGCTGGTGTACGTTGAAAGAACAAAAACGTTCCCCATACAGCTCATGAACACCATCAACAAACCGAAACAAAAGCATCTGTGAAAGGTCAATTTGGTCCTTCGAAATTAACTCGGAAAGCAACATGTAGACGGCACCAATCAAAAGAACAAAATGTTGTAGGTAGGCATCCGGGAGGCTGTACGAAAAAACGGGAAAATAAAACAATAGCCAGGCTCGCAACTCGCTTGCCTTCCAGTAACAACGATGCTTAAGGGAGCGCGGGCACCTGCTAATATAATCCGGCGGTCTAATGGTCAAAAGGCGGTTGTCAATTGTCTGAAGATGACGGCCCAAGTAGCATGGCTCCTCATGATGTTTTGAATCGAACCACATGCCCAAAAAAGTTTTCACCACACCCAGCAATACACAATGCATATGTTCGACTGCAAACCCAGTGCAGATATCAAACGATGGTAAGAGGACAGTTGGACCTTTGACACCTTTCACTGAATACCCTCTTGTCACAGCTTGAGAAGCCTGCCGCCTCATCTGCCGACCGTTCCTCGACAGGTACGTTCTTCCAGGAGGGTAGACTCTCACATGCCCCTTGCTCTGCAGTAGGTATGACTTTCCTGGGTGCTCACAAAAGGAACACCCATACAAACCATTAAACTGCCTGATGGCTTGGAGCATTGGTCGCGCAACAGCGTCGACAGACGAGATGGGGGCCATAATGTATGAAACAATGGTCTTTACCGTTTCGGGATGTCGCCAAGTTAGTCCGTTAGTGGCAAGCTCTATCACTTCCAGGACAAAAGGCCTCAAAAATGTGTTTATCGTCGGCTTCACACCGAACCACAGGAGCGTCAAAATTTGAAATCTCTTTCGGAGCAGCGGCGGTAAATCAGGGATGGTGCAATGAACTGGCCAGAGTGATTTAGTTGAGCTTTTGAAAACCTGCACACCATCAGTGTTCCACAGGAGTGAGAAGTTGAATTTGGACGAATTAGCAGGCTGTTCTTGATACATTAAGCTGTCGACAATATCCTTAACTGGCTTGTTACTTGTTTTGCCGGAAGTTTCGGGGAAGTAGGCGTATATTCTGTCGTCTTCCAGAAATGATCGTAGTGTGTCGGCAAAACTCATTTGCAGAAAAGTGCCCTTGCTCCGGCAGGCCTGATCACAAGTTGGACAGACTGTCGCTTCCTCAGCTAGGTATTTTTTTTTTTTTTTTTAGGTATACTGTTAACCCGTTAGGGTTGTTACAGGGGTGCACAAGGCACGAGAATACATATGACCAAATACAAAAAGAAACAAGGACACTGTATCAACAACAATTCAAACATACAAAAATAGCGCTTGACATTGAATTTATAAATCGTCAAACAGCGACGAAGCAAAGACATCACTCAATAACATCACAATTTTCTCATGATTATACGTGAATAGGAAATACTAAGGATTCGATAGATATCATTGAAAAAGGTTCAGAATGCTTTTTTCAAACAAGGTTAGTGTATTTGCTGTTGTTAATTCTTGTGGTAGGCTGTTCCAATCAGTTATCGTTCTTGGAAAAAAGGAGTATTTATATGCATCAATATTTGCTGTATCTATTTGGTAGTGGTTTAAGTGGTTGCCTCTGAGAGGCCTGATCTGCCGAGCAACTATGTAAGGGTCCGTATTAAAATTAAATTGGCCATTTTGTAGCATATAAAAGAATTTAAGGCGTGCTATTTTTCTACGGTCACAGAGCGTTGGAAGGTTGAGATAGTTAAGCATTTCCTGTACTGATTCTGTTCTCTGATATCTCGACAATATAAATCTGGCTGCCATCCTTTGTATTTTTTCTAGTTTATTTATCTGATAGGCTCTAAAAGGATCCCAAATTATAGAAGCGTACTCTAGAGTAGGCCGTATTAGTGCTTTATATGCAGTTAGTCTTGTCTCAGGGGGAGTGAGCTTGAGATTGCGCTTGAGATACCAGAGTTTTTTCCTAGCAGCTGAGCACACATTGTGAACGTGAGTTTTCCAGCTTAAGTTTGATGATATGGTAAGGCCAAGATATTTAAACTCGTTCACCTGTACTAAAGGTTCGTTTCCAAGCTTGTATACGAATGGTAGAACATTTTGTTTTTTGTTAGTTATAGTACAATGTATAGTTTTAGTTAAGTTAATTTTCATTTTTAACTCCTTAATCCATTTTTCTACTGTCTGCAGTGCCGAATTAAGCCGGACCTGATCATCGTGGCAAGAGATAACTGAATACAACAAGCAGTCATCTGCAAACAGGCGCACCGCAATAGAGGGTCCTATATTTTCCACTATATCGTTTATATAGCACAAGAATAAAACAGGTCCCAAAACGGATCCCTGCGGAACGCCCGAGGGAACGCGGACATAACAAGAGTTTGTTTTACTTATTTCTACAAATTGTTTTCTATTTGTAAGGTAGGCCTTGATCCACAGGATAACTTTATGGTTTATACCCAGTTTCAGTAATTTATTTATAAGTTCAGGATGGGGTACTCGGTCGAAAGCTTTCGATAGGTCGCATAAGGCATCGATCTGCCCTCTGTTGTTCATAGACGTGGCGAAGTCATGCAATGTTTCTGTAAGCTGGGTCACAGTGGAGAGGGATTTTCGAAATCCATGCTGGTTCGAAAGAAAGATATTCGAATGTTCTAAAAACTTAAACAACTCCTTTGAAACAATGTGCTCTAGTAGTTTGCAACATGCACACGTGAGGGAAATGGGACGATAATTTTCAATTGAATGTTTATCTACAGATTTATAAACTGGAACGACCCTCGCTGATAACCAATCTAATGGTACTTCGGAATTTACTAGACTAGCACTAAAAATAACAAAAAGATATTTTGAGACCCACTCGGCGTAGCGCCTTAGGAAGGTATTGGGTATTTCGTCTGGACCGACTGCTTTCTTTGTGTCCATATCTAATAGTAGCGCAAAGATACCCTCTTCTGTAACTTGCAATTCTGGCATATTCGAGTGTGACTCATGACTAAATTCACCAGCATTTTCGGCGAGGTCACAATTGTCTAAGAAAACTGACTGAAAGAAATCATTAAACGAATTCGCCATTTCACCTGGATCAGTGATGACATGATTGTCATGAGCCACGTACTGCACACTATCTCTCGACGGCGCGAGGTGACGCCAAAACCTACGAGGTGATGTTCTTATAAATTCAGGCATGACCTCAGTAAAGTATCGTTCCTTTGCAGATTTTAGTTTATCTTTAAGAATACGAGATATCTCTTGGATTGTAGTTTTATTACGCGGCTTTTTCTTTTGTTGACGTGCTATTCTACGCTTGAGATGAATTATCTCTCTCGTTACCCAGGGGTTTTGCTTTGCAACACGTTTCACTTTTTTTGGAACGAACTTATCAAGACAGTAACGTATTATCTTTTTGAATTGATTCCACAACTGGTTCACGTCTTGTATATCTACGAAAGAAGAAATTCTTATTTCTAAATGATCCAGAATACTGACGTCATCAGCTCTACTGTAATCATACACTTCAGTTGTCGGGCAGTTTGCATTTAGTGATTGAGCGGTTAATTTGATGGACAGCAACACCAATTTATGATCCGACAATCCATCTTCAACAACCACCTCATAATTTTTCAAAGATTCTGACACAAAAATTAAATCTAGTATAGAACGGGAAGAATCAGTAATTCTAGTAAACTCTTGAACCACCTGTGATAGATTGTTAGAAAAAGCAATGTCAAGCAATAATTCACCGCTTTTAACATCTGTCACACCAGGATCTAGTTGGTCCCATTTAACGCTAGGAAGATTAAAATCACCAGCAATTATTATTTTAGATCTACAGGTGACATTTTCTTGTAAATAATCATAGATATTCTCAAAAAACTGCGGCGATGAATCAGGTGATCTATAAACCCCGCCAATTACAATGGAATGCCCGCCGAACTTTACTCGGCACCACAAACTCTCAGTAAATGAACACTCAGGCATCAAAATACACGAAAGGTAGTTCTTGTAAATTAAAGCGACTCCCCCACCACGGGAGCCTCTGTCTTTTCTGAGTATTTTGTATGACTGACAGTTAAGACAATAAAAGTGGTTACAAAGTCCTTTTCCCCTCTGGAATTGTGAGAGGAGCTTAAAGAATTTGAAAGCTGTGTGCGGAAGTGTGTTAGACGATAGTAGCATTGCCGAGAAACCAGAGAGGATTTGGCCCAAACATTCCCTCGTAAGCCGAAACTTAAAAAATATCATTACGAGTATGAGACAAGCCTCGATGTTGGTGAAAGAGCTGCCTCCATACAGCGGACACTCATCAGAGTGGCGGTATTCGGAAGTAACTGTACCACCGTCCTCTGCTGCACTGTCCTCAGTGTCAGAGTTGGCACAGGTAAACTCACCCGTCTCGCTCTCAGAACATGACACAGGGGGGCTAGATGAACATGCTTGTCCACCATCCACGGATAAGACCAACACATCCATTGATGCGTCATTGTCAGTCGGAAAACTGGTCGTTTCTCTGGAGGCTCCAGTTTCTGAGATCTCCCAGCGGCGACAGGTCTCTTGGGGAAGCTAGAATATAATGAAAAAATTGATCTACATTGCCCTTGTGAAAATTTCATTGTATCCCTTTGCATAGGAACTAGTTCATATATTTGCTTCTTTAGCCTTGGCTGGCATGACATCTGTGATGTAATGTAGCCATACCATGTTCTAATCTCGACTGACTGAATCGCAAACCAACAAGAAGAGCGAAGTAACTATTTACGATTGCAGCATGAAAACAGGGTTTGTATTTAGCAATGCATTGTCAATGGTCATCTGGCACCCTTTGATGGCTGAACTTTTTCATATTATTGTGTTACCCTGTGAGGGTGCCTAAAAAACGAACGAAATTACATTATGTATGTTCTGTGCGTAGGAACAAAAGGAGGAGCAGAAAAATCACTTTAGTTTCATTCCACACCTTGAATTTCTTTTGCACCTTTAGTAAAGGAATGACGGTTGCCACTCTCCAAGATGATGGAAATGTACTTTCCTGCCAAATGCGATTAAACAAATACAAAATTATGTCGAGTGTGGAAGGGTGAAGGTGAGTAAGCATATGGTAGTGAATTCCATCTGGTCCAGCAGATGTAGGTTTAGTTTCATGAAGCACCCGTTCCAGTTCATTCAGTGTGAGAGGTAAGTTGTATGCTTCTCGAGCTCCGCCGGATGTCCACACGGATTGGAGTTCTGCTTGTCTCTTGTGTTTCAGAAAAGCAGATGAACAATTCTCAGAGCTAGAAACACGTTCAAAGTGTTTCCCAAGGAGATCTGCCTGTTCTTCTAGGCTCTCAGGGCACAGTCCGTTTTCGGAAAGAAGCGGTACTGAGTAAGCCCGGTAATGCCCATTGACTTTATGTACTCTATCCCATACTTCCTTGGTGGTGGCAGTGCTGTTAATAGAGGAAGCATAACCTCGGAAACTTTGACGCTGTGAGACGCGGCGGATGTATCTCGCATGAGCCTTCATCCGCTTGAAACTGATGAGCTTAGTCACTGTCGGGTAACTTCTAAATATGCCCCATGCTCTGTTCTGCTTTTTTCTTGATTTTTCACAGTCGGCATTCCACCATGGTTTAGGGCGGCGGGGTAAGCGAGATGAAGTCAAAGGGATAGCTAAAATTGCAGCATTGAGGATGTGGGCGCTAAGCAAATTGGTGAGTTCATCGATAGACAGTTTGTTAAGCGATGTACAAGCGAGCTGGGTTGCTTGGCTGAAGACAGACCAGTTTGCTTCCTCAAACTTCCAACGGGGAGTTCGTGTAGGCACTGTAACAGGTGGATTTAGTCGGTTCAGAATGATAGGAAAGTGATCGCTCCCATAGGGGTTAGGATCGACAGCCCAGGAAAACAAAGGAAATAATGTCGGATCGCAAAGAGACAGATCAATAGATGTAAAAGAATGAGTTGGGGCACTGAAATACGTAGACTCTGCTTTGTTCAGTAAGCATATAGGTGTTGAGGAAAGAAAACGCTCTATCATCCAGCCACGTGTATCTCGTCTTCTACTACCCCAAAGAGGATTATGAGCGTTGAAGTCACCGAGAATTAGGGCAGGTTGGGGTAATTGGTCGTGAAGTGATTCAAGCTCTTCGCTGGATACAGGATAGTTTGGGGGAATGTAAAGTGAACATACGGTTATTAAACGGTCCAACAGAACACGAACTGCCACGGCTTCCAGAGTGGTATTCAAAGGAACCTCAATACATGGGGTAGACGGCTGGACAACTATAGCTACTCCACCAGAACTGTGCGACAAAAGAGGTCTGTCCTTGCGAAAAACCTGAAAGCGCCTTAGGATATTAGAGTGACTATTGTTTAAGTGTGTTTCCTGAAGACAAAATGCTATAGGGTGATGCTGGTCTAACAGAGAGTGCACATCATCGTAGTTTCGATGCAACCCTCGACAGTTCCACTGCAGGAATGCTGCCATTATGCATGAATTAGAAGAAAGACCATTCATCGAGACCTAAAAATCAATTTTGATGCGGGGTGCATTTTTCTTTTTAGATGTGTTCTTCGGCCTATCTGTGTTACCACAGGAAGTCGAAGGTAAGGACTCCGAGCTTGAGAATGGCCTATCGTCCTTGGACTTGAGCCCGCTCTCGTCCATCGGCTCATCAAGGGCCGCCTCTGGCTGACCCTTAAGGGCCTGTGACCCCGATGGCTCACCAGGTTTTCGGGCGCCTTCAGAGGGACGAGAAGGAAGTCCCCGACCTCGAGGCACCTGCGTTTTGGATGGCGCAGGGATTGAAGATCTTTGCGCTTGAATGGACCCTGTAGCGATAGGATCTACCTTTCGCTTTGGGGTTGGAGTGGTTTGTGCCACTCCAGATGAGGCTGAGGGGGACTGAGGGGGGGGACGCAGGTCGTCCGTTGACGTCTGCGTTCCCGTTGACGCCGTCGACCGCGCCGGTCCCCTGCGCGCGGCCTCGGCATAAGAGCCTTGAGATATAAAAGAATATCTTTTTCGTGCTTCTCAGGAAGAAATATTTTCTTTAGCCTTTAGTGAGAGAATTTCCTTCTGTCTCTTCCACAGGGGACAGCTGCGAGAATATGCTGGGTGTGTTCCTCGGCAGTTGACGCAAAGATGGGTATTGTTGCCACAGTTGTCGGAAGGGTGGTCAGTGCTTGCACATTTTGCACAGGTGGCTTTTCCTCTGCAGGTTAGTGACCCATGTCCAAAGCGCTGGCAGCGGAAGCAACGCCTTGGATTGGGGACGTAGGGGCGGACTTTGCAGTTGAGATACCCGGCTTTAACAGTGGATGGGAGCGTTGTCGAGTTGAACGTTAGCACAATCTGTTTTGTGTCCCGTTCTTCACCGTCGCGACGGATAGTGATACGTCGCACAGCGACTACCTCTTGATCTTGAAGTCCCTCGAGTATCTCGTCGGTAGATATTCCAAGGAGATCATCTTCAGAGATGACACCCTGCGTGCTGTTCAGTGAGCGATGTGGAGACACTGACACTTTGTAATCTCTTACTTGGTTGAGTGCAAGAAGTGCTTTGCTTTGCTCAGCATTTGTGACCTCCACAAGCAGGTCGCCAGATGGAAGTTTTTTGGCTTTAAAGGATTTTCCTATCACAGTTTCTAGGGTCTTTGCGACCAAGAATGGGGAAAGCTTTGCAAGTGGTTGATCTTCGTTCTCTGAGTGCATTGCTATAAATTTGGGAAAATTCATGACTGGCAAGGTAAGGCTTGTTGATGTTGTCTCTTCGGTCCGGACACTTTTCGGGGCCCGATCAAGGAAAGATTTAGCTTTAGTACCCATATCAATGGGAAAAGGATCTCGGCACCTGCGGTGTGCCGCCCACCATCGAGCCCAACTTAGGGAGTAGTCAGCAGCCCATAACAAAATGGGCTTTGCTGGAACCGCTGTTCTTCTAGCACTTGCCCAGGTGCTATACCCAAGTGTGGTTGGGATAAGGGTATCTGCCACCACACAAGGTTGGCCCTTGCCACCAAAGAAGGTGAAAGTGAGGGAGAGGGAAGGGGAGAAAAGAGAAAGAGGGGATAGTAGAAGAAAAGGCGACTAGACTGAATCATCCTGGCCGGGCCTTACCAGGACTCCCGTCTACGAGAAGCGGGGGCCAAAGTGGTGTATTGCCTCACCCGGGGGGCCCCGAAGGGTCCAAACCTACCCCGGGCTCGGCCATGATGGCCCTGGCCCTGATGGCATTCACCCACTGATTCTCAAGTGCGCAATACAGAGTATGGCTCCTCTTCTGTGCCGCATGTTTCAGCGCATTATTAACACGGGCACGGCCCCTGATGCCTGGAAGCTTGCCCACGTCACACCCGTTTACAAAGGCCATGGCGCCCAAGCGAGTCTACTGTCTTCCTACCGTCCTATTGCGTCTACATCCATTCTCTGTCGCACTTTTGAGCGTATCCTTAATAAGAAGATCCGTTCCCATCTCGACGACAACAACCTTTTGTCGCCTGCTCAACACGGCTTTCGCCAAAACCGCAGCTGTGAAACTGCACTGGGTGTCTTAGTACACACACTGAGTGCCCACCTGGATAACCGCACACCTTGTAAGCTTGTACAGCTCGACCTTTCTCGAGCCTTCGATCGTCTTCCACACCCCTCTGTCCTGGCCAGCGTTAACGCCAAGGGTATATCAGGCACTGTGCTCGCCTGGTTAGCATCTTTCCTGGATAACAGAATGCAGCGTGTTGTCTACCGTGGCGCCAAATCTGCTTCCAGTGTTGTCCGTGCTGGTGTACCCCAGGGGAGTGTGCTTGGGCCCACACTCTTCACCATGTTCATAGACAACATCACTGATTCTTTACACTGCACCCCCATACTCTACGCAGATGACATCTCACTCTTGCAGCCAATCCGCAATCCTTCCGACTATGCATCCCTCCAGTCTGATCTCGACCAGTGCTACAAGTGGACGCAGCAGCACCAGCTGCGCATCAACACTCAAAAATCAACGACTATGACTCTAACTGGGTTGTGTCGCCCTCGACAACCTCCTCCTCGGCTCACTGTTGGCGAAGTGGAGATCCGCAGGGTCTCCTCGAGTGTCATCCTGGGTGTAGAGTTTGATGGGCGCCTGTCATTCTCTCCTCACGTCCAACGCACTCTCGCCAAGTCTCGCCGTATGCTGGGCTTCATTACCCGCACCTCGCTCAACATGCCTCCAAACACATTTCGTAGCCTCTACACAGCCCTCGTTCTCCCCATACTCGAGTACTGTTCGGAAATCTGGTTCCCCCATTCGGTACGCCTACAGTCGTGCCTCGCCAGTGTCCAGCGACGTGCAGCATACACATTTTATAGCCGCAGCACTCCTAGAGCCCGCCGCCTGCCCTATCGTCAGATTAGGACTGCTGTTCTTCTTCACCATGCGTCCTGGCAACCGCTTGCCTCCCGGATGCATGGCGCTTCCATGCGCCTCCTTTGCAGACTTCTCAGCCCTGGCCACCAGCTGCTTATTGATGCGCCTCTGTCACCGCACTGGCCGCCTGCAGCCGCTGCATACGCGGACTGAGCGTCACAAGTCTTCATGGCTACCACGTGCTGCTGCTTTGTGGCAACAGTTACCGCCGGACCTCACACGACTTTTCTCCCCTGAAGACGACAATATCTTGTCCCTGGTAAAGGCTGCCCAGCGCCTGCACTAGCCTTCAACTTGAACTCTATAGCCTTG